CACAGGAACAGCTATAGATACATTTTCTAGGTATATGTATAGATATAATACCAATTAAAAAATAATGGAGTTCTTTGGGTCAGACAGTCATAACTCAGAGGTTGCATATATTTTGAGCTAAGCAATCCATTTTCATTATTTTAAAGCAATTAAGCCTGTGAAGGAGAAAGGGCATTGTCTAAAGGTTAGAGTGCTAGACTGGGGTTGTTCTGAGACCCAGTTAGCTCAGCTCTGTCACAGCTTTGCTTGGGTGACCTTTTCACACAACTTAATTACATTATCTCTAAGTTGTGCATAATGCTGAAGACTTTCATAAACATTCACAAGACCTCAGAGATAGAGATGAAATTAAGATGTGAGAACTGGCTGTTACTGGCAGCAATAGAATAGGGCATGACATCTGGAGATACTGGTTTTGGGAATGTAGAATGAAGGCAAAAGCAGAGGATGAGCTACAGAGAAAGCAGTGGCAGTGGAGATCAGAAGGACTCAGTAAGGACTGGTGATGAACTTTAATAATGGAATGATATGGAAATGTCCTGTGTAACTTCTGTACTATCATACTGCCCAGGGCAGTGGCCACGAAACCAAGCCTGACCCAGTTCAAGAAGCATTCAGACAACACTCTCAGGTGCACAGAGTGGAATTTTGGGGATGTCTTGTGCAGAGCCAGGAGTTGGACCTGATGATCCCTATGGGTCCTTTCCAACTCAGCATATTCTGTGATTCTGTATAAACCTCCTGGTATCACACAAAGACTTGAAAATATGCTTTAAAATATGAAGAAACGATTTGTGACTGGCTAGGCTACTTATGTCCTTGATCTTCTAAAGTAATTTTCCAGTCAAGTAGATTGGTGCTTTTGTGTACAGCAGCACAAATCAAATAAGGAAACAACCTTTTAGCATCAAAGAAAACACTTGATCAGTAGATTGTGATACATAGATTTATAATCTCCAGAAAACCCTATGCATTTGAAATGCATTTAAATGCATTTAAACAGTACTGACTATTTAAGAAGTTGTGTTGCATTTCCAGAATACAGGTTTGATTAGTGATATTTTTAAGGAGTGTAAGGTGCAATTAACATCTCATATCATCAGGTGTTACACATATGCCCCAATGACCCCAGAAATGATGACCCACAGAAATACAACTCAACATGGCATTCTCCTATGAGCTGCAGTAAACTCAGAGTAGGGAAAAAAATAATTCAAATGTAGAAGTGGACTGCACATTCCTTTTACTGATCTCTGTTTCTCTGTGTTCCCTTGCCATCTAGTGGAATGTGCAGATAAGTGCTCCAAATTTTAAGAAAGACAGGGTTTTGAATGGGTGTTCCCAACATTAGCAAGCTTTAATCGTGGCTCTGGCTGCATTCCTGAAATGATCCCTGACACTGCTAGTCGAGGTGTTAATGGGAATAGCTGTCCTAGATGTGCAGTGGGTAAGCAGGGGTATTGCTGGTTTGCTGGGAATGTGGGACAGGCATCGTGGCAGTAATAGGGGAGCAGATGGCTGTGTTGAAGCAGTGTTTTCAGTCCTGGAAAACCAGGGTGGAGAAGCAGCAGGTGACACCACAACCAGAATCATCAGTGCACATACGTCTGTTCAGGCATGTGCAAGCAGAGCATCCCTCCTCTCCTCACCCCTGCAGACAGACTGTGTTCAGAGGCAGGGCTTGTGGCACTCTTCCATCAGCTCTGCTCCATGCTGGGCCAAAGCCAGGACTCTCCAGTGTTTGTTGGAACGGCTACATGAGCAGCATATGGCTGCTTGCTACTGAAACATACTGAGGAGGGGAGAGCAGCAGGGGATTTTAATGGAGTTTGCAATTTGATTTTGGATGTAATGGGTTCTTCCTGTGCAATAGACCTTAAAGTGACTTTATATCCATGCTAATGCAGAAACTTTGCAGGATCCTTATTTTGATTCTGTCTAAAAATCCAGTCTCTCTCCTGGTTTCTTGTGGTTTCTCTGGTAAACTGTTAATCTGTCCTTTCTCTGAGCTGTTTTTTTCCACATTCTAGGCACAGCTCATAGCTCAGTCAATTGGTCAGGCTTTCAGTGTGGCTTACCAAGAGTTTTTAAGAGCCAATGGAATTAACCCAGAGGATCTCAGTCAGAAAGAATACAGTGACATCATCAATACCCAAGAGATGTACAATGATGATCTCATACACTTCTCCAATTCAGAAAACTGCAAAGAGGTAAACTGGCTTTGGATTTTCATTTCAGATCAATCCATCCTTTATTTTTTCAGAGTAATGTAGTTCTCAGAAGTATCTTTTGGCATTTGTAAGGATGACGTTACAATTTCAAGATGTGTCCTTTGTCAGTCCTGTGTACTAAAATCAGCTTTATGGATTATTAGGATTTCTTGTTTTCATGTTCAGGGTCTTTCTGTTTCCACTGATCAGAACAGTAATAAAGTACATTTACATCTGAGCAAGATAAGCTCTGTGCTATCACAGTACACACTGTAAGGCGATTTTATGTTTCACCTAAGTACTGACACAGAAAGAGCTGACAGAGTTGGGGCTTTCTGCAATAGATAACCTCTGCAGAAGTCAGCTGGCCATCAGCATTCCCTGTCCTTCCACATTTTAAAGAAAATAATCCCCTGTATATTTGCTTCAAGAGCATGTTCTGTACTTTTAAACTCTTGCTCCACTTCATAGATGTTAACTGTGCCGTGGGTACTGATAGTTCAGGAGAAGGCATCATTTACATAACATCAGAGATCTTACCTGAACATGCTAGGCATGAGTATATTCCATAATTAACAATATTAATAATAATAACTTTAACAATCATTAAGAGATCCTTGCCTGAAAAGAAGGACAGACAAGTCCTGAGATCAAGAGACAGCCTGAGCAGTGCTGGCAGGAGTGGAGCTGAACAAAGCCTGGGCTGCAGGCACTGCCTTAGCCACAAAATGTTAGAGCCTCCCCCTCTGGCTGCCAGGTTCCATGGACAGAAACTTCCTTAGCATTTATTCCCTTGGCATCCAGTTCCACCACTTCCTACGGAGTTAACCATGGCTTAGTGTTCTGCTTATTAAATCTCTATGACCTTCAACAAACAAGTGGAGGATGCCCCTGAAAACAAACAGCTGTGTGTTCCACAGTTAACATTGAAGTCATGCTACTACCTAATGACAAAGAATAGAATTTGGTTTGTGGTTTGTAGATGTTAATTGGGAACAAGTGAGATACTCATGCTTGAAGTCAGAAAAATCAAAGCAAAAAAAATGTTTTTCCTTTTTAATTGCAGCTCCAGCTAGAAAAACAGAAGGGAGAAATTCTTGGGGTAGTGATTGTGGAATCTGGATGGGGATCCATTCTACCCACCGTTATCCTGGCCAACATGATGAATGGAGGTCCTGCTGCACGTTCAGGAAAACTGAGCATTGGAGATCAAATTATGTCCATTAATGGTACCAGTTTAGTTGGTCTACCTCTTGCAACATGCCAAGGGATCATAAAGGTACCCCCAACTTACAACTCTATGCTGTAGTTTGTAAGCCAACAGAGGTGTAATCCTCTGACAAGTGATCCTGTAGATTTCCAGCAGATACAATTTTTCATATCACTGCAAAAACCCCCATTAATCTGTCATTAACAAAAAGCAGAATTGGAGATTCAGGACTGATAATGCACAGAAATTTAGGGCTGGAGAACATGACTGCAGTTTTGTTACTGGGCTATAACAAATGAGGGCAGGTCTGTAAAAGTTGCCTAAATGAAGTTATTCAGCTGTCTTCAAAGTTTCAAGCTTCCTCACAGCCTCCAGAATAAAATATGAGGATTAAAATCTTCCATGCTTTTTTGAACTCCATGCAGATAAAATGGAGGGAGGCTGGTAGACTGCAGGGCAGACCAAGTGAGCAGATGAAGAATCTGAAGACACAATGGAATCTCAGAATGCATTATCTTTAGTCACAGAGACTAAATCTGATGTCTGTGCAGATTTACCAACAGCAGCAGAAGCAGGATATTAATTAGCCAGATGCTGGAAAAGGGCAAGCAGTAGTCAGTTTCGGTTTTTATTGAAAGATTTATTTAAATTTCTGTAGCAATTAAAAGTAAAATTTTAATGTTTTGTTGAGCCAAATATCTTGGGAAATAAATAAGAGAAATGTATCCCTAAGTTAACAACTAATTTCTGTTGACTCTAATTGCTCTTTCTCAGATTAGCTGCTGAACACTCTCATAATTAAGAAATCACAGATGAGGGCACAGTAAGATTAATTTCAGAAATACTGACTTTTGGAATATCTTACAGGGACTCAAGAATCAGACACAAGTCAAACTGAACATTGTCAGCTGTCCTCCTGTTACTACTGTCCTCATAAAACGGCCAGACTTAAAATACCAGCTGGGCTTCAGTGTACAGAATGGAATTGTAAGTTTCTGTGTTCATTGATTGTTTTGGGGTTTTTCAAAAAACATATGGAAATACTGAAAGAATCTTGCATGACCCTCACTTTTTCTACTGTTTATTAAAACCTTATAGCCTCTAAATAATATAATGCAAATGGATGACTCTGGGAGAAATTCTTGGGGGATTTTCCTACATAATACAGCAACAAGATTTGTAGCCCAGATTATTTGGTGCAATAGACTGATCATGTAAAACTGTCATTAGTGCCAGAGTTGCAAGGAAAAGTTATGCTGAAAAAGGTTTTTACAATTATAGCACTTTAATCTTAGGTCTGATTCTGTTTCTCTTTTTAAAATTTCATTACACACTCACTAAGACTTTTAATTTTCCTTCTGCTGTGCATAATATATGCATAATAATAATATAATAACATATAATATATGTTAACCACATGGTAGTAGGCAAAGGAATAAAATTGTGACCTCCTCTTCTTAAAATTAAACCTCTCATTACAAAGTACTAGGCTGTGGCTCAGGTACCCCTTCTCTGTGTGCTGCAGTTTCCCTGTAGTAACAGCAGCAAAGAGGAGAGCAAATGTGGCAGGGAACACTTACCCCAGGCAGCTCAGGGTCCTCCTCTTGCTGTTCCTCCTTCCCAAGCCGTTCTCTGACACCTTTCCAAAGCAAACTCCCCACACAACTAGCTCAGGTAGTCACTGGCCTTTCTGGGGGCTGACACTAGCATTAGAGACTGGCTGTAGTGCAGGACCATCACCATTTCCTCTTCCTCCAGTCTAGGAAAAAAAAATAATCAGGCTACTCACACAGAAAACTACACCACAAAGGCTGTGGGCTCTGTTCCCTGTTCTGAAATGCATCGATTGAAGTTGCCAGATCTCTGTTGGGCACCCTTTGAAGAGTTGGAAGAGTAGCAGGTAACTGTAGGATGTGGCTCATAGGCCTTCCTGTACTTGGGCAAACAGAAGGCTCAGGAGTGGGTTTGCAGCTCTCCTGGCCATCTCTCAGTTACTACTCCACCCAAGTTTAAAATGTTCCTACCTCAGGTCACATATAAAGGACACTGCTGCATGCCCTGGCCCAATGGATGCACTCTAAAGTGATTTCTACCCCAGGATCTGGTTTCACCCCATCTCACAGAGGGTGCCCTGTTTGAGGCACTGAGCTCTTTCCTAATTGCTCACCTTTGTAAATCTTGTATGTTCCACTGGTGCTATGACCAAAAGAAGAGAATACATTTAAGGACCAGTAAACATCACTGTGGTGTGATTATCAAGTTTTCATGAGCCCATTCACAGCTTTGGTGGGGGTGGGATCAAGCCTGGGGAAAAGAATCAGGCTGAGGATTAGGAGCATCCCATGCCCTCACATGGACAGGGAGTCTGTGACAATCTATTCATCTGGTCCCTGCTAATCATCTCCTTCATGACTGGAGCCTCAGTTCTCAGGAAATTCTCCAGGCTCTGCTTGTTTTTGGTCACAGTGTGCTCCTTCCATCTACTGGCCATTTGTCACACTGGCAGATCATCATTTCTTCCAGTCAAATGAACAACATTCAGATGACATCAAATATAAAGTTCACCAAATTCAGCAAAAAAATCCTTTTCATATAAAAAAAAGCCTGGCAGTGCATTTCATTTCTGAAAAGTCTGTTTGAATATGAAAGCCAGTGAACAAAAAGATGAGATTAACATCTTTTGTTAGGCTGCTATGGATACAAACCTCTGGGCCTGTGAAATCCTTTCCTCTGAAAAGCTTGCTCAACATTTGAAAACATGACTGCAAAATTTATCTCTCTGGTAGTTTGACACTGTACTCTTTAAAAGTAGTTTTATAATTGCCAGCAATTGTTACAAATTATGATAGGATCCAGAAGTAATACTGTTATTCTTTGTTGGCTCAGCATTAGCACAGCAAAGAAATAAATGGCTTGTCAGAACAGATATAATGAAATGTCTCTTTCTGTAGCCCATTACCTCATTACCTCCCATGCAGCTGGGACTTATTTCTGTGCATCCTCTGATTGCAGCTTTGCAGTGGTTCCTCCTCACCCTGCCTATCTCATCTGTGCAGGATGCACAGCTATTATAGCGGGAATAGCCCATAAACAGAATAGCTTCTGGCCACACAGAGGCACCTTCTGAGCTGGGTTTGCCTGCACAGGCTCTGCCCTGCTGCAGCTGACAAAAAAGGATGTTGTAATGTGACATGTATGAGACTTAACAGAAATAAGTATGAATGTTGTGCAATGGGGAGGTGAGCATTAGATGGCCAATCAGCCACCTTCTGAAAGTCATTATACTAGAGTTCTTTTTAAATGATGCTATTTAAACACAAGTGGTCCTTTTGTATCACATGATTGTTTTCTAGATTTTGTCCTTGTGTATCAAATTATTTTTTCTAGATTATTAAAAACCTGTATATTATCAGTTATATTTTTACTGCTGATAAAACACTACTTCTCAGTCTAGATCTCACTTTCTCTGAGACCTCTATCTACCCTGTCCCTAGCCTAGCACAAGCTATCTAAAAATACACTAAAACTTTACAGAACATTTTATTTTTTCTTCCATGCCTTTGTTTACTGTCATTTAAACTGGCAAAAAAATTGCAGGGTTTCAACAGTGTAATATAAAAGTGAGATGAGGACAAATCTGGTTTTAATAGGTTATGATTAAGGCATTTACACAAAATAAAGTTTGTCTGGCACTATTTTATCCTTAATGCTTTGCTACCCTATGGACAGTTGCAATAAAACTGATTGTGAAGCTACTGAAGTTTCACATCTGATGTGCTGCAGCTTGTCTGAGGCATTGCAAACCTGTCACAGCTGAGTGGATTGAACCTGTGTGTTTACACCTTTTTTTTTTTCTTCCTTTTTTTCCCTTCAGTTTACAGAGTCAATAGAATGGACTCTTGCTTACAAGAAGCAGATATGTCTTGCTTTATCTAATAATATTATAGCTGTTGCCATGTTCAACAAATACAACAGGTTAAAGAGTCCTGGGTGAATAAAATCATATTTACTTAGAAATACTGCTCAGTTTAAACTCACCAGCTTCAGCTGTTATAGCTCCACTGGCTGCAGACAAAACACTTAAATCTGTTTCGAATCAGCCCTTGCAAATACAGGAGTCACTAAATGTGTGCTGTAAATGCAGAATACTTTTTTCTCTGTGTGTTCTGTCTCTGGTTTAGCAGAATCTGGGAGCCTGGGCAAGCCACTCAGCCTCTGTGTCTACTTCTCTTTCTACCTCATTAAAACACTTAATGCTCACAAAAGGAAGCTGCCTGCCTTCCCTGGAGAGGATTCCTGAATGAAGAGACCACTTTTTATGTCTGGGGCTGTTAGAATAAAGAAACTCACTGATGGTATTAGAAGTGCTAAAAGTGGTTTGAGAGCCACACAGTGAGAAGGGCTCTGGATAGATTTGCAAGCCATTATCTTTTTTTTATGCTGGTGGGGTGAGGGATCACATTTCCATTTGCTACAAAAGCTGTTATTTCAGCTCTACTGTCTCTCTACTTTCCTTTACACCACAAAACATGTATTTACAGAGTTTCTTTTGGTACACACTGCTTTTTGTCTGTTCTTATTACTGCACCCCAACAACAAGGAGCAAACTTATTCTAACAGTGAGTTGAACTGAGAAGCTTTCTGTAAAAGAGATCTGTGTAGTACAGTTTATCTTGTGAGCTGTGTCATTAGAAGGTAGACTACCTGCAAAACAATATATTGTACATGACTGAATTTCAATTCTGTGAAGAGGTAGTGCTTCTTTCCATTGAAGCCCATCAGAAATACTTTAAGGACCACAGGAGGTAACATTCAACCACTGGAGAGAGCATGGTGGGAGATTCCTCACTGCAGGAGGAATGTGTTGTTTTGGGGTTTTTTCTGAAGGCTGAGAAAGGCTTTTTATAAACAAAGACTAACAATATATTCTGACTCCTCATATCAAGCAGTCTGAACTTCAAATGAGAAGGGATTTCTTGTTTTAATAGCACTGTTATTTGTGGAGAGGAGTTTAAAGCAAGCTGCTAATGCCATACAGGGAAAGATTCCAGTCAACCAGAGACAACGTTTTACCTTCAAGGCGTTCCAGACTGGCCATCTCCCCACACACTGTGCTTCTGAATTAGATCACAAACTCACTGGGACACTAGCCACATCTTATCATATTTGTATTTAGCTCTGGGCAAATGACCAGATTGCAGCAAATGATGATTCTTGGCGCATCATTCTAACCACTGACAGTAACTGCAGAAACAAGCATTAGCTGATGCTCCAGCACTCTTTTCTTTTCCTCCAAGAATTGGTTTTTCTTAGTAAACAAAAGGTAAATCCCAACACTGCTGAAGTCTGCTTAGTTCCAGAGATTCAGCTATACATTATCTGCCTTGTGTGATTCATGGGCTTAGTCTTTTGAAAAAATTTACCAGCAATTTCTATTTAATGCAGACTAGTCTGCCAGGGAGGATCCCCTTGCAGCACGGATACTGTTGCTAAGGAGGAAACATTCTCAATCCCACACAGGATTGAGATTTCTCTTTTTGCCTGGGCTCTACAGTTGCAACCTCAGAACACTTCAGGTAGCAGTGACTGCTGGGACTGTGTCTGCTGAATGTAGCTCTTCTTGTAGAATTATTACCCTGTTGTAGGGGTCATAACATTCAAAGCTTGTGGCTAGTTCTTTACTGGAACTTCAGCTGCCAGTTAAAGAAGAGTGGCCTATTTTGCCTTCTTCATCCTGAGCTCCTTGTGGCCAGCAGCACTGAACAACGTGGAGGGAAGCTGTGACCCTGGAGAGCAGAGCCCTCTCCTCCTCTGCAGGGGCACAGGAAGTTGTGTCCCAACAGTGGATTAAACTCTCTTCCCCCATCTCCAGTTGTGTGGCTACTACCTGTATCACTGTGAAAGGTATTTATATGTTCCCAGTCAGAGACTGAAAATGAAAATTATAATAGGCAGAAATCTCAGAAAAAATTCCCTCTAACAAACCACTAAAGCAACATTTAAAAACTCACTGATTAATATTTTCGACAAGCATCTTCTGGAATCCATCCAGTGTCACCACTCATTATTATGCTTTAAACCCCAGTAAGTGCTGCACTGTGATATTTCTAAAGTTCACTAAACATTGCTTTCTCTTGGCAGATTTGCAGCTTGATGCGAGGTGGAATAGCAGAGAGGGGAGGGGTAAGAGTGGGACACCGGATTATCGAGATCAACGGGCAGAGCGTTGTGGCTACTGCTCATGAGAAGATAGTACAAGCATTGTCCAATTCAGTGGGAGAGGTAAGGAAACAAAGTGTTTAGAAAGGAAGCAAAATAGTTGAAAAAATGTATGTTTCAGCTGAAAAGAGTCTCAACACAGCATTAAAACCACCAATTCAGTAAATTGAGTTTGGCATTAATACGAAACAAGTAACAGAAATATTATTTTAACAACTAATGATGCACATTCAGTGTACTTTTCCATTAATTTTTAAGAGTTCCTGGAATAATTCTTTACCCTTTAACCTACTGTCTGATTTAAATCAAGTGATTAAAGGAAGAAATCACTCAGGTGTGTTGGCTGTGAAAATGTCTCTTGGCTTATCACCACAGCATCTGCCACAGAAATGAATTACTATGTCTGAGAGATGCAAATTGATATACATTTTAATAATTTAATTTCCAACTTACCTTGTGAATAAGTTAAGACATCTCTCTCCAATACTTCTAGAGAGATCAGTAATGAATAAGCAAGATTGTCCAGTTTTTCAAAATCCCTCCTGAATTTAATGGTAGTCTAATACAGAACCCTGGCCAGATGTCCCACTACTGTCCCACTTCCTCTGACAAAAATCAAAAGACACCTGATTTCCTTCTGGAAAATGATACTTGACAAATCATGACAGAGTACATGCACTTTGTCAGGAGCAAAGCTGTAGATTCCAACAGCCCCTCCATGCCTTTATGCTCTTTGCTGTGTAACCTCTCACCTAACACAGGAATACAGCAGGGAACTTTTCTTTATGGCGTGAAGATACCGCGGCAGGTGGTGAGGGTCTGTATTACCAGTCAGTAAAGTTTCCCTTCCTTCCTCTTGTGTTGTCCAATAGGTACTGTAAGAGCAGTTCTGGTGGAGCCCTGATTACCTGAGCCTTGGACTCTGTTACTGTAAAATCCCTCTGGCACTGGGGACTGGATTCCCAGGACTCCTTGAGGAAGGAATTTAAGTACATTAGCCATGAGAGAAACTGTTCCACCAAACTCTTGATATGCATTTAAACATCAGGTGGCAAAGTCCAAGTTTTGTGATCAGAGGATCACGCTGTAATTAGGTGAAAATATGAAATGCCAGGCCCAGAGAGAAGGAAGACAGAACACAAATCTAAGTTCTGTTAATACCAGAACAGCAGAATGAATTTTCAGAGAGGTTTGTGCTACTTCTTATTTAACATATGTAAATTTTACTGTAATTGGAATAGGGTATATCAACAGAAAGTGTTTAGGTGGATTTGGAAACTATATGATGTCACATCACGTAATTGTCATTAATAAATAATTAAAAACCAAAACAAAACCAAACAAAAAACTCTAAACCACACAGAAAAAAGCAAAGACAGCAAACCAACATCTTAAAACCAGAGAACTTTGAACTAGAAAATGTAGTAACTGATCTATAGAAGCCAGGACAAAAAAATGCACTTTGACACAAGGAGAGACAGATGGGGCTTTCTGGATTATTTTAAACTAGTACCAGCTCTATTAATGTCTGTGTAATCAATTGACAGATTCACATGAAGACTATGCCAGCTGCCATGTTCAGGCTTCTAACAGGTCAAGAGACCCCTCTGTACATCTAACATCTTCCATCCAAGCTGAAGCTGTCACAGCTGAAGAGAATTTTGTATTTTGTATGAATGAAAGGCCTGGAAGCTGACCTGAGGACTCCAGAACAAGGAACAGACAGGTGTCTCTGCCTTTTCTCTCCTTCATTTCTATTTCTTTGACAAAAAGTGTTGAGAAGGATGGTCAAGGACAATAATCACTGACAAAAATCTTTGTAAACATTTAAGTATTTTGAACATCTTCTAAACTCTTTTCTCATAGAACTTAACACATATTTATTTGTAACCTTTATGTGGAGTGATGTATGTCTGTCTTGTTTGATAACACAGTGAATGTGAATATTTGATGAATGAGACTGCAGGAAATGGCAAAGAGAAGCAATTAGAGAAAGTTCTGGCTGCCTCAAGTTAAAAAAAAATCCCAGTCCCATAAAGTGGTCCAATACTGATGACTTTGCATAATTTTAAAACTGGTGCTGAATCGATGGTATTTCAGTGGAAAGGAATGTGTGCAGTTCAAACTTCTAGATTCTACTGTAAAGAAAACCACTGTAGTACTTGGTATTGTTATGACAAGTGTAACCTGTTTGGCAAGGTGTGAACATAAACATGTAACAAGTGTTTCATATGCTAAATAAAGAATAATTGCCACAAGATTAAAATCAAAATATTTATTTAGATACATATTTATTTTTAATGCTTGTGATTTTTATGATTTAACAGAGTTATTTCATGGATAACTTATTGCACAGGTTGTGTAATGTATGTGTTGGGCTGGGTTTTTTTTTTTTCTTTAATTTTTGCATATTACCTTTTTGTTCATATTAACTAAAAATGGGAAAGCCATGCTTACCTGTTTCTGTCTTTTATAAAGCATTCTTATTCCTAAGGCAATGTGTTCTGAATGTAAATTGTTTTGACAAATAACCTAGCACCATCAGCAGTATTAGAATGTGTGTAGATAAAAAAACCTAGTAGTAAAGTTGTATTCTTTATGAGATAAATGTTAATTGGTGTAACTTTGTCTAATTTTTTTCTTTTGGCCAAGGCCTTGAAGAAAATACACTGTGACTTAAGAAGCCTTACCATGCAGTAACTAAAGAGCTTTAGATGACTGTACTTCAAGGAGTAGTGTGTTGCATGCAACTGACCTTAGGAAAGAATTAACCTATCACAAATAAATCTGAAATAAGAAAGGAAGCTTGCTCATTTTGTTTGTTGTGTAACTTTACATAGTAAAAAATTCCAAGTAGAAGATCATTTAATTCTTCATCTAAGTGCAGTTGCAAAGGTCACAGATTATTTTTTAGAAAGGAAATACTCTTGAATTAGGAATTTGTGTATCATTATAATCTTGAGAGTAGAAGCTTTCAATTAGCATACCTTGTTGCCACTGGATGTCACTGTAACTTCACATCAATACAGAAGCATGCTATAATTAAAATACATTAAAATGGATGAATCTGCAAAACTTAAACTACCCATCTTCAGCTACGTTCCTTTGTGACCTTTTCACAGGATGTCTGCCCAGCTCAGAGTGACACAAATGAAACCAGTATATGATTAAACCTCAAATGGAAACTAAGCCTACTGACAAGCACTGCTGCAAAAAAAATTAAAACCCCGAAACATCAACCTGTGGTAGGTTCTTTATGAGAACCTTCTGATTAAGGCCTTTCCAATTTCCTCTGAAAGAGCCAGGATGAAGCTTGCACTGGAAGACTTTGCTGGCAGACCTGTGTTTATGCTGGTAATGAAATCAGTGTCAATATTTACTTTTTGATATTTTTTTAAAGATCAATGTTAATAAATCATAAACACAGCAGAACCACAATAACGTGTTTTAGTAATAAAATTGTTAATACTATGAATTGGAGTAACAGTTCTTTTTGAATATATTGAAGGCTCTGCTAGATAAAAAATTCCTCTAATTTCCTTTCAGTTGGTGTTGGTAAATCGTTTGTGAAAGATGCTTTTTGGAAATGCAGAACTTCAGTCTTCTTCCCTAATGCATCTTTTGGTCACACACTGCAGAGGATTAAACATCAGTTCTTGGTCGCTCACACTAGTGCAGGACTGAACTCGTGAACATTCATAAGAAAGCAGGAATAAAGCACACTGCAGCCAGTACTGGAGTTTAAAAGGGCAGCACTGGGAGGGGGCAGCGGTTTTAATTGGACAGATCAGTTGGTCTGGAATGAAAGACACTGGAAGAATGGATTAGAAGCGGCTCTGTGTGTATAAATCACCTTTATGTTTGTATTCAAATCAGTTGTTGAAAAGGCAAAGTCCAGAAATACTTTTTTATTAAAACACTGACGATAGTTAAAACACTTTGAGGTACATTAAATAAATACAACTTTTAAGTTGTACAGCCAGTCTCTGGTGGGTTTGCAATGGTTTTCCATAGAAATGCTGGGCAGCATCAGTAGCATTTCTGTAAGTACAGTGAAATAAATGCATTTCTCATTGGGAAAACATTTGTTATGACTGAATTAATAAATCAATTAAAAGTTTGCAAAAATCAAGGCTGAAATTTACATTCAGAAAAACAGCTGTTCTCATCCTGCTGTGGGGAAAAAAGTGGAATTCCAAAGGAAGACACTTTTTCCTTTTAAAGTCATCCACTACTTGTATTTCTCCCAGTCCTGGTTTCTTCCATAAGTGTCTCTGCTGGCATGACATACCTGTGGATAGTCTCAAAGGATGGTCTCCCGGCAGACTCCGATTAAACTGTGCGGCCTCTCCCGCTCCAAACCGCGGCCGAGCCGGGACCGGCGCACGAGGGCGGCGGGGGAGCTCAGAGCGCCACAGCTCTGCAGGTGCAGATCTCCCTGCAGCCGCTTCCTGCAGCTGCTCACATTCTGCTGGGAACTCGTAATTACCTGCAGAAAAAGGCAGGAGTGGGGAAGGAAAAAATGGGGAAAACAGAGTAAGGAAAGTTCTCATTTAAAAGGTTCAGTCTCTGAATAATATTTAACACTGAAACTCTTCCAAAGGAGGTGCAGTCCTCCAGAACCCCTCCAGCTTCTCTTGGTCAGGGCTCAGAACTGGGCACCCAGAAAAGCACAGCCAGGCTTTTTGTCTGAACTGCAGTGTAAAATGTATTGCTGCCCAATAAATACAAGTTATTCTTACTAACACCATGTTACCATAAAAGACCTTCTGTAGGATTTGTCTGAAGAACTTAAACTGTAAAAACACTTAAATAAGGTATTTGTCTATGGAAATTGGACACATCTTTAGAACATCAGTGGCCTACCTGGTCTATGATATTGGCACTGAAGATGGCTTCTTCCATGTGTCTCTCAT